AGACATCTCAGTTCGTACTCGTTGATCTGCGCAACAGTCAAAGTCGCCATCTTTGTTTATATGAGACCCATATATCTCGCACATGCGCAGCGCGACGACTACCGCGCTTTAAAACTTCACTTTTCTTGTGACCGGAAGTGAATCAACGTACACTGACCCACTACTCATGCGCATCGTAGCTAAGCAACCAGAAGGCACGAAACTCGTCCATTGTTGATATCATGGGAACGGATTTGATGGATGAGTAGAGTAAGCGGTGAGGGTGGCATGACGTCAGAAATGTATGTATGCTTGATTCTAAGCAAACTAGTAAAAATACAGAAACTAGTATAGTACTCAATGGATTGGTCGAACGAGGCTTCTATGGGCGTGTCCCTAGCAACCCAAAAACATAGTGACCATGCATCACCATTTTCTATATTACCCAAATCTTCAGATATTTATTTATTAACACACAACATCCCCAGGAGGGAATGAAAAGGGTCAACGTGTCGTCAACGTGTCGTTTAGAATCATTGTTGCTGCATAAATATCCTAAACATGTCATCAAAAGAACGTTTTTGACCCCCATCGACCGTAGCAACCACACACAGTACATAGTAACCATACACCAATCAATTTCAGGCTACCCAAATCATGTCGTTTTACAGAACATACAAACCAGTAAGTTGGCAGGTAACAACCATGACCACACGCCTGACAAACATATTGTCTTTCTCGTGTCCTGTTCTAAACAACAACAAACTGGTCCAAAGAAATCCCAAAGATTAGTGCATGGATCATCGACATTGAGTGCGAAAGCATACGGGTTTTTAAAACTTCTATTTCAATCATGCCAATACCTCTAGCAAAAAGTGTATTTTCTTCGGGTCTTCACCAGCTTACTAATGAAAGCTGTCCAATGTGTAGTAGTAGTATACGTATTCCAAGTGTTCTTGTTGCTTAGTTTATTTCCAGTACCAAGTAATATATTTTAACCCTGGGTGCCTGGATTCTGCAGATGAGCCGAACAGATATACAAGACTGAATTCGATACGTCGAACAAATACTGTCTTCACAAACGAGCAAATACATATCGCGTCCATTGTTTTGATTGCCTGTCACGTAGGTGGGTATGTAATTTTATTGCTTTTACGACGGTCACTGGAGCGTCTAGGAAAATGTCTGGTGGTGCAAAGTCTCTCGGCAACTGCCTACCGGGTGCGGGAGTTACGAGTACCTGCATGTGAATATCTTGCGCCCGCTGTAGCTGGGAAAAAATGAGCGATGCTCATTTGTTTTTGGAACTGGGATAAAGTTGATTCCAAGTCTAGCGCATCCGTTAAAGCGCCACCAAGAGTCAAGTTGGTGAAATGTAGCTGGTGATAACTGCTGATAGCACTAATTGC